GTAGGGTGGGTGAAATCAGATTGAAGATAGATAATATGTTTGTTTTATCGAATGAATGTATTCTGAAGATTCATTCACAGGTAGGATAATATTATAATCCTAGAGAGGATGGATGGATGAGGTTAATTACTGGGTAGTGAGTGTATGTAGAGGTGAAGATTATCCAGACTCGAAAGTCTCATCCTAGTTTGATGACACAGCTGTCCACTACTCTCTGGTTTTCAATCGTTCTCTAGCTGATGTCAATCCGTGATCAACTCGTAAAAAGAGTTTGTATGTGTTAAGAAGCTAACGATTGTTTCATCCTCACAAAAGGAAGCTCCACGCTGATGCAGAGTACTTCTAACGACTCACCAAAAGAAGAATACTGTACTGGGGATGTGGAGACATGCAGATACTTAGGTACTCGAGTGAACATGTTTGAATCTTAGAGATCGTGACGTCATGTATGTATGTCTGTGAAGGATTGGAACACATCCATTCAGATAACCACTGTAAGTGACGGCATCATAATGTCCTCCATTTGTGAATCGGAATGCATTATTCTTGAGCAGATATTATTTCTGAGCTTCAACTAGTGGTGGTAGTTGAATAGGTCAAGATCTTCAGAACGTCCTTATAGTGTGAAGGTGTGAGCCTGCTCAGGGTTATTATAATTAAGAAAGGTTTGTTCAACTATCTAGAAAGACCTAAATAGCCTGTATAATGAGGCCATTGAAACTATCTGAAACCGTCGAACCTTTTTTCACAACGCTGAGAACTTCGGATGGTCGACGATTTTCCTGAAATTTTAATGAATTCACTAATTAATGCTTTCTTGACGTCTGTGGCTTGTTTCACTATGATTGGCTCTTCGGGGTCTATTCGCCGCTTTACAATTTTCACAGAATCTTGTGATGTTTTTTATAGATGACCATTAAAATCTCGCTATGAGTAGTCACAACTGTTTGAAGGGATAACTCTGTGACAAAATCTGTTTTGAAGCGATAATCGTGCACCAATCACTAACTTTGAGATTCAGCATCATGTATATGTAGTTTATGGAAATCTCACATGCAGGAATTCGGTGTTGTGTATGTGCGGGCGGACGTAATATGTTGATAGGCTTTTATAGGTAATCGATATGGATGGATAGTGTTCAGACTGAGAGGGGATCCACTCATGTTTAGCTTGTGTATTCCGTTGAAGTGGGTTGAAGACAGAGATGGCTTTTGAGAGAGTGGACCAGCTATGTCAACTCTGCTTCGTGAAACCCTGCGTCATATTCATTGGATCCTATTTATGTCTGTATATGTACTTTGAGGAGTCGATTGTGACTTTTTGATGAATATATCTACTGAATCTATTCCGTTTTCTGATGTCTTTATCGGGAGTGACTACAGTATAGTTATGATTCCTGTATATCAACGTTTTCGTCTCCTTCGTCTCGTTCTTTTTCGATTGTCTGTGTCAACAACTCGGTTGAGGACTACATGATGCCCGCATATAGAGTTCTTCTTGTTATTTGAACTGCTCTCTGAACATGCTGAATTATGCTTATGTTTGTTAACTTCAGAGAGTCTGCATCTTATAAGTTAGTTAAGAGTGAGAGTCAAATGCTTAAGGTGATCTGATTCGGTATGATTGTTTCTCCATTATGGATAAGATTTTATTTTGATAAACTGTCACACAGTGTAGTGTTATACAGTAATATTTACTGATGATCAAGTTTCGAGCACAACTTATCCCTACTCATAATCCATAAACTACATATACATGATGCTGAATCTCAAAGTTAGTGATTGGTGCACGATTATCGCTTCAAAACAGATTTTGTCACAGAGTTATCCCTTCAAACAGTTGTGACTACTCATAGCGAGATTTTAATGGTCATCTATAAAAAACATCACAAGATTCTGTGAAAATTGTAAAGCGGCGAATAGACCCCGAAGAGCCAATCATAGTGAAACAAGCCACAGACGTCAAGAAAGCATTAATTAGTGAATTCATTAAAATTTCAGGAAAATCGTCGACCATCCGAAGTTCTCAGCGTTGTGAAAAAAGGTTCGACGGTTTCAGATAGTTTCAATGGCCTCATTATACAGGCTATTTAGGTCTTTCTAGATAGTTGAACAAACCTTTCTTAATTATAATAACCCTGAGCAGGCTCACACCTTCACACTATAAGGACGTTCTGAAGATCTTGACCTATTCAACTACCACCACTAGTTGAAGCTCAGAAATAATATCTGCTCAAGAATAATGCATTCCGATTCACAAATGGAGGACATTATGATGCCGTCACTTACAGTGGTTATCTGAATGGATGTGTTCCAATCCTTCACAGACATACATACATGACGTCACGATCTCTAAGATTCAAACATGTTCACTCGAGTACCTAAGTATCTGCATGTCTCCACATCCCCAGTACAGTATTCTTCTTTTGGTGAGTCGTTAGAAGTACTCTGCATCAGCGTGGAGCTTCCTTTTGTGAGGATGAAACAATCGTTAGCTTCTTAACACATACAAACTCTTTTTACGAGTTGATCACGGATTGACATCAGCTAGAGAACGATTGAAAACCAGAGAGTAGTGGACAGCTGTGTCATCAAACTAGGATGAGACTTTCGAGTCTGGATAATCTTCACCTCTACATACACTCACTACCCAGTAATTAACCTCATCCATCCATCCTCTCTAGGATTATAATATTATCCTACCTGCGAATGAATCTTCAGAATACATTCATTCGATAAAACAAACATATTATCTATCTTCAGTCTGATTTCACCCACCCTACTCATCACCGGTTGGTTGCGTAAAACTTCGTGATATGTACAGCGGCGGAAAAAGGGAAACAAACCAGAACTTACAATTTCATCACCTTTCAGTCTTCCTGCCAGATCATTATTGTCATTGACTCTGATACAGTCTGACTTGACGCGTTTTCTGGGATTCCCCGGTATAATCCAGTCTGCGCCGAAATCTTTCGGCTTTCGTCTCCGCTTCCTGTTCTCTTCACTATTTGACAGGCCCACCTATACGGAGAAAAAGCAATCACAATCAAAGAAAGCACAAACACATACATCACACAACTGAATTCGCATGGAAATAACGAAAAGGATTAGAATATCATCTAAGTAGAGTAGTGCAGTTGCGCACAAGATGAAAACTTATACGAAAGAGCTGATTGCCAGTCAATGAGTTTCAGCACAAAACCTTGCACAGAAGTGGAGCGGTTCAAGTTGACAAACTCCACGTAGTATACAAAGATAGACAACCTAACCTAGACAGAGAAAAGACTCTCAAAAGCAGAAATGTACGGGAGAAAGACAAGGGAGGAACATGGAGTAATTAGGGGTTTAATCTGCGCGTCGGGACATCAAATCACTAAGAGTGCCTGCGCATCTGTGCCACTCACCACGATTTCCAGCCAAATCACCAATAGTCTCCAAACACCCTAACCAGCCAGCCAGCCAGCCTACGCTCACAACTACACCTACACCTACCCCCTATGTGGCTCAAAACAACTCTCAAGGACTTCAGTGCTTGATTCCACGTTTTCACCTGGTCTGATTTACTCCTTTCCAACTCCAACTCTACTTCAGTCAGCTAACATTCCTCGGATGAACTTAAGGATGACTTCGACGGGAAACTGTTCAATGTGCTGCAGAAAGCAAAAAGTCGTTCAGATATAGTTGTTTTAGCAGGCAACTTCAATGCCCACCCAAGTAGGGAAGTTATGCCAGACTGAGAAGTATATACGGAGTTCACTACCGACGAACCAACAACGGCGGTGATTGTCTTCTACAGTTCTCCTCAGATAGTCATCTGTTTGTTCCCAGTCACCAACAACTCTAGGCACAAACAGAGACACATTGTCTAACCTGGTGACCTCCATCACCAAATCAACATTGGACTCAAATAGACCACATAGCGATAAGGTATCGTTGGAGAGGGTCGGTAGAAGACTGCCACTCCCTCTGGAACATGTGCGCAGACTCTGATCACGCCCTGCCATGGTTCGCGCACGTTTATGCGGTTAAACGGACATAAAAAATTGTTGGCAGAGAAACAGTTACGTCTTCAACTAGATCGAGACACTGAGTCCCTATTTAAGTAATAGGGATAGCGAAAAGAGTACCTGAGGTCGACAGCAGGACTCCTCCTGACGAAGCCTGGAACAACATACAGTTAGTTAGCTGTACACACAGATGTCAAAGCTGACAATAACCTAAAACCCAAGGTCAGTAAGACCCATTGGATTTCTACCACCTCATCCGAACTGAATGACTGACTGACTGACACAGAAACATTCATTCCGACGAGCTCCAAATATGATGAGGAGCAAAAGCTGCTGCTCAAGCACAAACTAACAAGAAGTCTTCGCAACGACCGTGAACAGTCGTGCGCAACAAAAGCGACGGAAGGAGATGGAAAAGGCTTCGGCGATTTGTAGCGCAAGACAACAATTTAGACTTATCAGAGAAGCAGGTGGCTAAAGGCAAATCATAAGTGGAACAATCTATGACGAAAATGGCACCATAATTAGCTCCCAAGATAGACGACTCGGATGGTGGAAAGAACACTTTAAGCAGGAATTTAGAGAACAATTGTGGTTTCAATAAATTCTTCAGGCTCTACAATTATAAATCCATTATTTTAAGCATACAATAGACAGCCAATAAAGGCAAGTTAGAATCATATCCGCTTATTTCACCTCTCGTTGGTATCAGCGGGACCACGGCTCTCAGTGACAGTATATGGCCCTTTCCACTTCGGAAGGAGTTTCCATGAACATGGTCTGTATCCAACTGTATACTTTCTTCCTCTACACACTTTACTTCATCGCCGACCTTAAGGCTTATGCATCCCATCTTTTCTCCCAGCTCAGATTTCGCGGCGTCTATCTTCTCTTTACGCTTTACATTCCTGACGGCTTCTTTCCGTTCCGTTCGCAACCACCTCATCATATTCCCCTCCTGGTGAACGAAACAGGTCGTACTGTGTATTGGCAGTCTTGCATTCCTACAAAACATCAAATCAAATGGTGACTTCTTTGTTGGTTCCTGGTTGGATAGAAGCACGACGTGCTAGTAAAATCAATGGAAGGAAGATCCGACTCCCAGTTACCACTCTTCGAGGTCAACCACTCCTTCAGTGTACGGTTATTTCTCTCTGTCAAACCATTCGTTTCTGAATGATGATATGGTCTTGTTCTGGTCATCTTGATAGTCAGTTGTTACAAACGGGATGTATATGCGCTTGGCTTTCAAAACAAGGACACTGATCTACCTGCCAGTCAGTATCGTCTTTGGTACACCGTGGTCTGCAACGATGTGTCCAACTACTGCATCAGTCACAGTTCTCGCGCGTTCACCTCGGATCACGATGGCGTTTACCCATCGTGTAGCGTGTTCCTCCATCACCAGGAGGTACTGATTGCCACTGGATGTCTGCGGAAACGGACCCACTACGTCTACACACGAGAAGTCGCCTACTGCCGTGAATGGAATCGACTACAGAGGCGGTCGTGTGCACCGATCTTCCTTCATCAACTGGCACTGCGGACATTCAAGTACATATTTCCCCACATCTTCTATCACATCTGGCCAGTACATGCTTTGTCTCAAGAGGTCAGTTGTTCTGGCTACTTCTATATCTGCTGGCTGGTGACATTCTTGTATCACCTCATGGCGTGGAGACTGAGGTATTATCGCCAACCAGCTTCCATCGTTCTCTCGCTAAGTTACAGTTCTGTGAATGTTCACTCTTAATCGATCCCTCTGTCTCAGTAGTATAGCCGGATCCTTACTCGCCGTAGAAGTTGATTCACTTCTATTCCGTTAGTGATCTCCTGTATTACTGTATTCAGGGTAGTGTCCGACTTGTGACTGATAGCATGTCTGAATGCATCTTGTTACAATGCATCCACTCCATAAGCAATCTCCGGTAACTCAGCTTCGTCATCTCGTCTAGATAAGAAATCGGCCAAACAAGTTCCGTTGCTGGGGACGTGTGAGATGATGAAGTCATAATTTCGCAGGCTCAACATCCACCTGGACAAGTCCCCACGTGGGCCTTCCGCCATCCTCAGAAAATCTAGCGACTTGTGATCACTTTAGATGTGCAACTGTTGGCCGAGTCAATACGGTCTCCATTTCACCATGGATAAAATTTCATTTTGATAAAGTCACACAGTGTTATACAGTAATATATACTGATGACGTTTCGAGCACAATTTATTCCTCATAATCATATCAGTGCCCGAGTTTCATCCTTATAACGGTCTGCATTTGTCTACCGCCCATACATACTATTGCTAAACATTCTTTCTCTATCGTTGAATACTTCTGCTCTGTGTGTTAAAATACCACTGACATATTCGACAACTGCTTCACCCTGTCCAAGTACTACGCCTTTCCCATAGTCACTCGCATCTGTGTACACTGTGAACTGTTTTCCCGATACAGACAGTTTTAGCGTCATTTTCCTGTCGTTTAACTGACGTTTAATACTGTCAAATGTCTTCTGCGAATCTTCCGACCACACAAACTTCAACTCATCATCTAATAGTCTGTACACCGGGTCTGCTATCTTGTTGAAGTTTGCACAAATAGACTATAAAATGCAGCTCTCCCGACGAACTGTCCTAGCATTCTCTTGGAATCCGGGCCCGTAATGGTCTTTATCGACAAGATTTTCTCCGCTAGCGGTTTTATCTCACCGTTCCCCACTCCTCTATCACCCAACACGGTAACACTCCGTTTGGCTATCTGAGATTTTGTCCTGTCGGTGAGCAGTCCAAACTCTTCAATGACTTTTAACACGGCTTCAACATGGCTCACATGATCGCTTTCGTTTTGACTGCAGATGAACAGGTCATCACCGTACACCTCCACATTCTTCAACTTTCTGATCAACAACCTAACGACTCCTCTGAAGGCAAACAGTACACCTGCTAGTCGTCCAAATAGCATGTGTTTAAACCGATGTTCTTTCTGACCCATGCGATGAACGCCGTCTTATCTCTGTCGCTCTGCTTTATCCGTATCTGACAATATCGTGACCGGAGGTCAAGCACTGTAAAAATTCGCGCCTTGTATACAATACACGCTATCTACTACAGCTGGCATGCCACACACGGTCTCAGCTCTGTCATGCTGTTTAGCTGTCAGAAATCCATGCAGGATCTCTAATTCCCATCTCCTTTGTTCACTAAAACAACTGGATAGTTATACGGGCTGTCAGCTTCTTTTTCTCTAATACCATCCTGCAAAATCTCCTCAATTTAAATGTCTCTCTACCTCACACCCATAAATATCACCTCCACGATTTCACGAGTAGTTGAATCGATTGAAAACAATCAAATCAGTCAGTATTTACTCCCTAATGACACATTTAAGCTTAAGCATTTCAAACAAAGAGTACTGGGTACCAGTCACAATGACAACACCACACACAATCACTCACAGGAGATTATTGCAGGTACATCCCGTTGGCAACTCCCGTACCAAAAACATTCAAGTGCCATCCATCAAATTACACACTTTTAAGTCCGGATAATCTTCACCTCTACATACACTCACTACCCAGTAATTAACCTCATCCATCCATCCTCTCTAGGATTATAATATTATCCTACCTGTGAATGAATCTTCAGAATACATTCATTGAATAAAACAAACATATTATCTATCTTCAATCTGATTTCACCCACCCTACTCATCACCGGTTGGTTGCGTAAAACTTCGTGATATGTACAGCGGCGGAAAAAGGGAAACAAACAAGAACTTACAATTTCACCAGTGGGGGGGAGTTGCCTTCGTGCCTCTTCATGAATATCATTGCCTCTGACCTGAAAAAAGGAAAGAGACGAAGAAGATGCAAACGTCAGTACACAGGGATCATCATTACAACTTCAGGCAGCTTCGATAGTCTCCACGAGTAAGCATTTGCCAAGTGACGCTGAACAACCAATCATGGTAAAGCTAGTATATATTCTATGCCAAACTTTCTCTTCACATACTTCAAAACATTATAAATCTCTAAATTCCGTACAACTGCAAAACTGTTAAACCTATTTCTATAAAATACAAAATAAATGAGCCAGAAAAGAATATCCTTTTCGATAACTTCCTCCTCTTCTCGCTCTGCAGTTATATATATATGCATGTTTATTTATATACATAGAATATTCTAGATTAGTAGTCAGTAACAATATCAGTGTTTTTTAAATAATGTCGATTTGCAAAGTAAGATCACAATGGAATCACCACAGTTCATTAAAGATGCTTTAATAATAATAATAATAATAAAGAATAGAATATAAACTAAAATTAGGAAAATTCCACTGGCTCCACAGGCCAGTTACATAGGCTGTACAATTAGGCGTGTTTCTCGTCGAATTTACGAACATCACCCTGCATAGTGAGTGGTTAAGCAAAGGACAAACAAAATCTATTCGCAGCGCTATTCTATCTCATCTTGTGGATACAGAACACAAGACTGATTGATGTTAACCATGCTTTCAGGGTAATTTACCGCATACCTACGAACCTCAATTTCGCCTTAAGAGTTCGACTGCTAAATATTCCCGAGGCTGGCCAATGGATCCAGAATAACAAGCCTAATTTGTGCATCCAAAAGAAGTTGGTTGGTTCAGACATTATCCTTACCGCTTGGCTATCCAGGTTTGAATGATCCTGAATTTTAGTTGATATTCTATTTGCTACTACATCTTTGTTATAATAATAATAATAGTAATAATAATAATTATTATTATTATTATTTAAGCATCTTTAATGAACTGTGGTGATTCCATTGTGATCTTACTTTACAAATCGACATTATTTAAAAAGCACTCTTATACTGTTACTGACTACTAATTTAGAATATTCTGTGTATATAAACATGCAGATATATTTGTAGAGCCGGAAGAGGAATTTATCGAAACGAATATTCTTTGCTCGATTATTTCGTGTTTCATAGATGTCTGAATGAATATTTTTGCTATATTGAAATCTATTTCTAGTTAACCGCAGCACTATACAAAGCAGTGTTTTACCGCTATTTCCAATATGCTTGTGACCATCTCAAGTTCTCAGCGTTGTGAAAAAAGGTTCGACGGTTTCAGATAGTTTCAATGGCCTCATTATACAGGCTATTTAGGTCTTTCTAGATAGTTGAACAAACCTTTCTTAATTATAATAACCCTGAGCAGGCTCACACCTTCACACTATAAGGACGTTCTGAAGATCTTGACCTATTCAACTACCACCACTAGTTGAAGCTCAGAAATAATATCTGCTCAAGAATAATGCATTCCGATTCACAAATGGAGGACATTATGATGCCGTCACTTACAGTGGTTATCTGAATGGATGTGTTCCAATCCTTCACAGACATACATACATGACGTCACGATCTCTAAGATTCAAACATGTTCATTCGAGTACCTAAGTATCTGCATGTCTCCACATCCCCAGTACAGTATTCTTCTTTTGGTGAGTCGTTAGAAGTACTCTGCATCAGCGTGGAGCTTCCTTTTGTGAGGATGAAACAATCGTTAGCTTCTTAACACATACAAACTCTTTTTACGAGTTGATCACGGATTGACATCAGCTAGAGAACGATTGAAAACCAGAGAGTAGTGGACAGCTGTGTCATCAAACTAGGATGAGACTTTCGAGTCTGGATAATCTTCACCTCTACATACACTCACTACCCAGTAATTAACCTCATCCATCCATCCTCTCTAGGATTATAATATTATCCTACCTGTGAATGAATCTTCAGAATACATTCATTGAATAAAACAAACATATTATCTATCTTCAATCTGATTTCACCCACCCTACTCATCACCGGTTGGTTGCGTAAAACTTCGTGATATGTACAGCGGCGGAAAAAGGGAAACAAACCAGAACTTACAATTTCATCACCTTCCAGTCTTCCTGCCAGATCATTATTGTCATTGACTCTGATACAGTCTGACTTGACGCGTTTTCTGGGATTCCCCGGTATAATCCAGTCTGCGCCGAAATCTTTCGGCTTTCGTCTCCGCTTCCTGTTCTCTTCACTATTTGACAGGCCCACCTATACGGAGAAAAAGCAATCACAATCAAAGAAAGCACGAACACATACATCACACAACTGAATTCACGTGTGAATATAATTATTTAGAGAATGATTATTTTA